CTCTCTCTCTCTCTCTCTCTCTCTCTCTCTCTCTCTCTCATTAATGATGCAATGTTATTCAACAGGCTAAGCATAGTGCCTGCAAATCTTCATATTTAGCAGAAGAAACGCTCCTTTCTATTTATAGGTTCACACAGCATTGTCTTCTAGTTTTGTGGTTGCACTGAGCTTTGAGTCTGAGATAACACTGAGCCTGTTTACTGTGTCATTTGCAGAAGCTAGGTGTCTTCTGGTCCCTTTTATAGATACCAGACCATCGCAATCTTCAGTATGATCCCTTTTCCCAGCTTTGCACTTTTGTTTCAGTATCTAATTGGACATTTCTCTAAATATTCAGTAGAGTCTAATAGTAAAGGTCAGGAAGAGAATGATCTCTGCCTAGAACATCTCTAAATATACAAACCTGTGACATTCTGACACTGAAAAGAATACTTTACTTCTTTAGGGATTTTGAACTATAATCACACTTAAACTTCCTGTTCACCACTCTGCTTTCCTCAGTGTCCCTGTGGTCAGAATGTGTAGATAGGCTTCCATTTCCTCCTAGTTGTTAGAGAACTTCCAGTCAAATGGGGCCAGTTTTCTGTAAAAATATGCCCACATTCTCAGGCTCTTGAGGATGATGTTTCAAAGACTCATTGAACCCAGGTATCTGAGACTAGTGCCACGATTTATGAAGCATCAAACACTTTCCACACCAACACAGGAAGATGAAAAGGAGGAACTCTGCAAACCTTCACTAGTCATTCCATATCAGAGCAAAGGAAGTTTTCACTTAAGCCATGGGAGAGATGATTGACAGTACAAGTTCAGTCTCAGGCTTGGACATAACCCGTGTGGTATAGTTTTGGGAGTGTTTGAAGGCCTTCTGCCTCCAAGGACACTTTTACTGAGCTTGAGAGACTAGTTGCACTTCTAGAAGTAAGAATTTCTGAAATCTTGATTTTAAAATTCTGATCCTCAAAAAAAATAGTCTTATTAAAAAACTTTGGTGGGAATATTAATCCAAACTAGAAAGAAGTGTATAGCAGGAGTGGAATATAAAATAAACCTAGAGGCAAACCAACGGGAAAACTGATCTGCTCAAGACTTGCTACATTGTCAATAGAGTCACAAATGTCGAATATATAGAGAGAGTAATCAAATATGCATTAACCAAGATATGGGTACAGAAGACTGAAATATGTTATGATTGCTTTGACTTTGTACTCTGGGATCTAGGATGCCATAAGGGATGCTTTTCTTGTTTATTTAAAGTGAGTTTCCCATGTTAATGATTTTAGCCCTTCCATAGGCTTACTTCATTCTATTCTAGATCTACTGAATCCCTGCTATGTGTAAACACAGTGGATCAAAAAGAGCTGGGGAGAGCAAAATATAGAGCAAAGGATGAGAGGTAAGATGATGGGAAAGGAAACACTGCCAGTTCCAGCAGCTTTCTGCAGTCTCATCAAACAGGTACGATATTTTGCAATTTTCTCAAATACAAAACAACATAAATGTGATTAGTATCTAAGAATGCCATATTCTGTAAGATATTGGAGGAATCTAAGCATCCAGAAGAGCTATTGTAAGGGATAGGATTTCAGTAAGGAAGCTAGTCAAGTCTTCCAGTAGGAGGAGGGTTTAGGCGGGGTTATTAAGAATACCAGGGTATGGTGGTACATGCCTACAATCTCAGTTCTTGGAAGCCTAGGGCAAGAGGATCACAACAAGTTTAGGGCAAAGGCAAAGTTTTGTCAAAATTCCTAATTCTCAATGCTTTGGAGTGGATCTTTTTGATATCATGTTGTGATCACAGGCATATCTGTTACCTATTGTGTAGCATGGTTTCTGAGAATTCAGTCTGTTGCCTCAGATAAAACAGATACAAGCTAATGTGTATATATTTTGAAATAAATTACCCACTGGTGAAGTTTCCTGGCTTAGATTATACTTTTGTATTTACATTAATGAATTTTAGTATGATCAGAAGCAAAAGAACAGTCCTATGGGAATCTATTGAATTTCATTCCAAATTGATCAAATAATAGCATATAAAAACCAAGTGATGATTTTGTCTAAGGTTTAATTTTAAAGATGAAGAAAGTACAAGGTGAGAAATGTAGTTTAAGTCTCTAGACAAAGTATTGATATAACTGAGACGAGAACTCTTTTCTTTAATATTAGTGTCCCCACCAAAGTAAAGGCTATCTAACTGATGCCTCCTGTCATCTACCAAGTTGGTTATTTAGCTGTGGTTGCATTGTCTGTGGCCAGTCTTTTATGTTACTTAGTAAAAGAGGAAAGCCAAATATCAAATGTACTCAAATATTGGTCTATAGTCTCTATTGTTATATATAAAAGGCAAGGCATATTGATTCACATAGCTCTATTTAAAAAAAAAAAAAAACGTCCAGCCAATATGAATGGAGAAAATACATACAGCTCACTTTTTCATCCATTGTCTAAAGTATAATTTTGAAATAGAAGTTATGTAAGGTGGGACTAAAAGAAAATTTGAGCTTTTCTATCAATTGAAGAACATAATATTCTTTCTAATGAATATTATATTATCCCAAATGTTTGCCTCTTGATTCTAAAGTTACTAAGTTTCAATTTAGCTTCTTTGTCATTATGATGATAAGATATCATTTGACATAGTAAAGAGTGTGATTAACATACTTTCCAAACATATTGATATAACCATGGCTATAATTTAAATATCAGAAATCGTCCCACACCACAAACTTTCAGTAATTTGTTAAAGTTGTAATTTAATTATGACTAACATTGGTTTAGCACTTTGAAATCTGCAAAGGGCTTTATGATTTCTTATACTAGCTCAAGCAACTAACATATCCTCACCATCAATTAAACATCAGAGTATCAGAATGCTGTAATTAACTCACTAAACACATTAATAACATCCAAATTATTTTGTGTGAGAAGGAGTTACTACCAGTTAACTAAATAATTATACTCATTCTTTGCTCTTCCTTAAGTAAAATCATTTGGGCGGGGGGTGTCTGGACAAGAAGATATTTATTTAATGGCCTAAGTGCCATGCACCAAAATGTCTTATAATGACATTATTTTGTACATCAAAATAGCATATGTTTTAGGTAGCATTTTGTTCCTACGTGATAGCTTTCAAAAGTGCTCAGAAATGGTAATTTTTCCCAAACTACTACTCTAAGAACAATGAAAGCTAATTTGTAGTATAAAGAATTAGGCTGCGAGGCTAAGCACTGCAAGGGAATATAAATAAAGATAAAAATATCTCTCTAGGTTCCCTGAGGGACAAGCCTGACTGCATAGGGGTTGATGTCAAAAGTATCCCCTCTCCAGGAAAATGACATCGGGACAGATATGGCCCTCATGCTTCACTGGACAACGACAGGGGGACTGGAGCCATTACAAGGTTCCCTTCAAATACTGGAGGTCATGCCTCTATCCCCGCCTTCGCAAGTTTAGAATTGCCACAGCCCTTCTGTACTTAGAGAAGGGAGGAGATGTCAGGGGCAGCCCTGCTTACACACTGAAGGCCTAAAATCAGCCATAGGCCTAAAATCAGCAATAGGCCTGTCATACATGTATACTAACACCAAGTCTTGGGTCTCAGTGGAAAAACATTGAAACAGATGGCTATAAGCTAATGTCAACAGGCAGCTTTTGTGGAAATTTACCAGCCTGAGTAGTCATAGACCTTGTAAATAGGTAGCCTTGGCAGATAATACCAGCTTAGATAAGGACAAGCGAGTCATAGGCAGAGTCATAGTGACTTGTCCCCTGAATCTTCACCCAGCCGATACCCGGTTCTGAAGGATATCTGTATTCCCCCTGAACTCCCACACTCCAGTGTCATTCCCTTCCCCACATCCTGCCTTTCTGTGTTTATAACCCCTGTGTGAATGAATTACAATTTGACAAAAATAAATAAATAAATAAAAAAGAATCAGATGATGAAAACTTAGAAATTCTGATTCAGGACATTCACAGACCTCAGAGTGAAATCTCCTGAGCTTGGGGTTTATAAGCCTATGATGGTGTTGGTGGGTTATGAGTAGGTTTCCACATTCACAGAACGCCTACCTCGTCTTAAAGGCACCACAGAGTAATGCTTATATCATAGTGTCAAGCAATTTCAGAGAAAACCACCTCTTTAACTCCTTCCTTGAAATATATTTCAATTTTGATGTATTTATGTGTGTTTTAGTTTTTCTTGGCAATATATCTCTGAAATGATTATTAAAGATGGTAGGAAAACAAATCTCAACTCATAGCATTTTTCTAAATCCAGAAAGTGAAATGGAATATATAGAGAGTTGTTTCTATCCCAGACAAGTGGGCCAGTGGCCAAATAGAAAATTGCCACATCCCACAGGACTACAGAAACAGACCTGGCTGGATCAGTGGAGGAATGAAGAAAAGATGCACAGAAAAGCTAGGGCAGGGTGGTCTGGGTTTTTAGCTGGAAAAGCCACAGCACCCTGGAAGCTCAGTGTGGTTATTATATAAAGTTAAGCATAGAGGTGGGGTAATTTCAGACAGTTAAACAAAGAGACAGGGCTTTTGGTATGCCTCTGAACAAGGAGAGCTTAGATAAACTGGATAGGAAGCGTGTCTGTAGGGAAGCAGTCTTCAGGCCATAAACATCCAAGAGCAGAAAGATACAGTGCACATTTCTGTACAAATTATCAATGTTCTCACTTGGATAAGGCTTTGCTATTTCCTTGAGCCTAACCTGGAGAAAATTTTGCCATTTTCCATGTGTCTAAGGCATGAAGGTCCTTGCCATAGCTTTGTCCAAGTCAAATAATACACATTTATTCAAAGCTCTACAAATTCACTGCACAAAATGCTGTGTTATCTAGATGTTTTTCCTATTGTCAAAACCATGAAATCATGCTTA